GGTAAAAAAAGAATAATAATGAGTAATAAGAATAATAATAATAATAATAAGTATTAATAAAGTTAATTTACATAATAAAAGCCTGTTTTTTTTTTTTTTTTACTTTTTACTAATACCAGCAACTACCGATATATGAATTCTAAATATATCTAAAATTAGGTTCATAAAAAAGGTTTCACAGTAATTTTAAAATGTATTATATAATGCATTACTTATTAAAAAAAAAAAAATAGAATAAAATAAAATAAAACAAAAATGAATTATACACTTCCAAAATGTCTGTTGCTTTAAGCAAATAAACTAAGAAACATAATAAATGAGCTCAACTGACCTTATCAGCAAATATGCCGACTTCTGTGTAGGGTAGAGTAGCTAACATAAACTAAACCAAGGCCCGCAGCATGGTGCCACTTTGACTGACTGCCACGCCTCTAACGCCCTGTAACTATCTGTCTCTCTCTCTCTCTCTCTCTCTCTCTCTCTCTCGCTCTCTTTGCCTCTTGGTCTCTCTCTGATTTGGTCGTAATTACGCGTAACTTTCGACAAGTGTCGCCAGAGAAATCGCCAACGTCCCGCCAGCTCTAGTGGGTGCCCTACGTGTCCCTGGTGTGGCTGGAAAGTTTTTGGGGCTGTGGCGTCTTTTGATGTTGCGCAAGGAGGCGCCACTGTGAATGGCCCACATGGCGACCAAGGCAGCTGCGGTTTAATCTCCTTTTAAATTGTGTACAGCCGACGCCCCCAGCCACGCCTTCCACACAAGAATATGGACCAAAAGTTTGCTGGCACTTGCGCTTGATAACTTTGAACAAAAGCGGGCAGCAACGGGAAAATAGTTGAAAATTCATTGTGGGGGAAAGTCATTGTTACACTTTTGTGGCACTGCTCCTACTGCTGCTCCTGCTCCTGCTGCTGCTGCTGCTGCTGCTGCTGCTGTTATTTTTCACTCTAATTAGCCGTCATTGGTTTGTGATTTGTGTGGGCGCTCGCAAAACACCTGACGAAAGGTGCAGTTTGGTCAGCGGCATGGCAAGTTAAATTTGCAGCAGATTTTTGATTTAGTTGTTCAGCCACATAAATCTAAAAGGCCACTTGAGCAATTTTCCAGCTTGGGAAGCAAATAATTTACAGCAAATGTGGTTTGGCCAGAATTTATACTGGGCTAAGACCGCATTAACCATGCAGTCGAGAGCCAACAGCTGAGAGCGTCAGGCCAAAGTAAAGTATATTTAATTAAATTAAATACACACAAATGTGGTGCAGGAGGGTAGAGACTCTGCTTTTATTGTCGGCCTTAAAAGCGTTAAAGTAAATCATTTAGGACACAAAGCAGCTGCCAGGCTAATGGCCAATGGACAATACTTAATGCTCATGGCTCATTGTCCAAGTCGATCACGCCCGCCATTTGTGGAACAACATTAAAATAGACTAAAGTGCTCTGTGACCTCTGCCTTTATGGCCACTTAATATATGCAGTTAATTAGCAACACACACACACACATACTTTCATTGGCGATTGCTATGCAAAATGGCGGAAATTTTTACTGTTGCTGACATTTTCAGCATCTTGGCTGGCAGGTGGCCGCTGCTGAAATGTCCGGCAAATTGCTTTTGATTAATGAAGCAAGAAAAAATTTTAAAAATAATATTAAGTCAATCAACGGTCAAAGCTATGCGTACAAAGTAGACAGGAAATTGCTCTCACAAAGGAAAAGCTATATAAAAAAAAAAAAATCAACATGGAAGACAGCTCTAGTTTAGCTGAGCCCGACTAGAATATACCCTAAGCAATGACCGATGTGCAGTCAGTATACTCCATAGATACTTCCCAATTCCAATGGGGTTAGGGTATATAGATAGTACTATATTGAATACGAAACACTCTATGGAGCACTATATATATATATATGTATATGTAAATACTACCTTACCTACCTACCTGCTCTAACTACAGTATCTCTCGCGCTCTTTCTCTCACTCACTTCCACTGTCAATAGCTGACTTCAAGCTACTCACTGACAGTGACTGAAATTACGGGATGTCAAAAATTAACATGCTTTTGTCCACGCAACATAATGGCCGACATGCCCTGACATTGTTGTTGGCGCTGCTGTAGTTGTCGTTATTACAGTTGCTGTTGCACTTCCATTTTAATGCTGTCGGCAAGGCCGTTAGTGGGGGTCAGCTAGAGCGAGAGAGCTACTCAACTGTCTGGCAAGGCCTCAAGGCATGCAATTTCTTTTGGCATTCTACTTTTGTCGCCTTGTCCTTGTCGTAATTATGAACTTAAAAGGCAGCCCGAAGCGTGTCATCAGCGGAAGCAGCGCCAACGGTGATGCCATATTGTATTAATATTTAATGGATGTCATTTCTGCGCTGCTGTCTGATTTTTAATTGAACAAAATGTACAAGAGTGCAGCTGCATGTTAAATATTTAACATACTGTATTTGCTTTGCTGTAACACATTTCATTGGGGATAAAAATACCGCTTGATGATATTTAAATACATGAGCAGCTGTGCCATCCTTGTCCTTGCTGCAACTCATTAGCGACCGCACAGATTCTTTATGCTACTTTCACTTAATTCATTAGTCACGGTCGTGTAGATAAAATTAAGGCGAAGGCCATAACCTTGGCCATGGCAGCTATTTAAGTTTATATAAAGTAATAAACATTTACAAAGACTTCATTTGCATATCGAAGGAGTTTACTTCTTCTCTGTGCCTCTGTCGGTAGCTGAGAGCATAATTAAATTCCATCCAATTAAATGACTGAGAAGGAAAGCTACCTTAAGGCAAGTTGTGCTGTCCACTGGATAAATGAAAAACAAATTTTACTTTGATTCACTTGCTTTTTGTGAAAAATAAAAATAAGAAATAAAATATGTGAAAAAAAAGTGGAAAGTGGAAAATCTTTTACGGCAAAAATTTAAATAGTCCCTTCATTTGAAATTTTCGCGCCAATTGACAGACGATGCTATCGCAGTACTGCCACTATAAGATACAAGAAACAGATGGCAGCACTTGTAAATAACGTGGCAACCTTCTGCTTGTGTAATAAAAACATTTGATTGATTAAATTATTGTTAAAAATTTTATTTAATGTAATTTTGACCAGTAATACGTACACACCAGCTGTGTTTGTACTTCCCACCTACTTTGGTTGCCCGCAGACAACAAATGGTATGGATCCAAACATGGAGTGTCATTTGACTACCTCGTTCAAGGCCGAACAAATATAAACACGATCTTGTTTTTTTTTCTGCAGTTCATACATATCGCAATTCCGTTCAATTTGTTGAATTGTTAGCCGACAAGCCAACAAAATGCTGCCCGCCATTGTGTTCCGGCAAATGCACCGCCCGCTCAGCGCCGGCGGACTGCATCATGGGGCAGCCACCACATTGAAGCATGTGCTCGGCGTGGGAGGCAGCAGTTTTGTAAACTGTCTAAATCGTTATGTCGCTGCTACCGGCTTCATACGTATCTCTTTTTTGGATATCAATCAGCGACGCAATTGGGATGTGGCCAGACTGCGGCTTTATGCGGACGCCAAGAAGCAATCGCTCCATCTACGCACACTCCAAGGCAGGGATTTGCTTCAGGGCGTCATCGATAAGCAGCGTGCAGAGTTTATTGAGCGCAAGAACTTCCTGGTAGATGATATACGTGAGGCGCGTCACAAGGTGCAGGAGCGCGTCAGGGAGAAGATTGTCGAGATACGCGAGGAGCGTGAAAATATCATGACCATACCTAATATGTTGACCATCAGCCGCGCCATACTTTCGCCCTATATTGGCTACGTTATAGTTCAGGGTGATTATACGCTAGGCATGAGTCTACTCGTCGTCGCCGGCATTACAGATCTGGTGAGCATTCAACAGTATCTTATAGAGATATAAAGTTTATCCATATATACTCTTTTGCAGCTCGATGGTCAGATAGCGCGTCGCTGGCCGTCGCAGGCTAGCAAGGCTGGCTCCTTTTTGGATCCCATGGCCGACAAGCTGCTAATGGGATCCTTGGTCATATCGTTGTGCTACAGCGAGCTATTGCCCATGTGGCTGACTGGGGTCGTTGTATTTCGTGATGTGTTCCTAATTGCCGCTGGCTTTGTTATACGCTATATTAGTCTTCCGCCACCAGTAAGTATTTGTATTCTTTTATAGCCTTATATCTCTAACACTCAACACCAAATGTTCCTTTGCAGAAAACGTTTTCGCGCTACTTTGATGCCACCCATGTGACCGCCCAATTGGAACCTACATTCATCAGCAAGGTTAACACAGGTGTACAGCTAGCCACAATTGGTATTAGTCTGGGCGCACCTATATGGAGTTATATAGGTAGGGTGATACATAAATTCGGGTTTATTCAGTTATTATTCCCATTTTTTACTTAAACAGACCATCCAGCCTTGCATGGACTTTGGTATTTAACAGGCGTAACAACAATCGCTGCTGCCCTCAGCTATGTCATTAATCGACGGAATACTTTTAAGATTATAAAAAAGAAGACGTAGAACTGAGCATTTCTATTATGAAAACTAAAAAAAAAAATCAAAAAAAAAAAACGCAAGTAATAGAACATTAGTTGCATTAGTTGATTAGTATATAGCCATTTTGTAAACAAATAGCTATTAATAAAATTATATATTTTGTTATCAATATGGCACTGATTTGTTTAAATCACTCAGCTGTTGTTCAACTGTTACGCATAGCGAACGCAGAGGGCCACGCTTCTGCGTGGTGCTACCGTATCGGTGGCTGCAATGTTTACAATTAGTAACTACAGTTGCAAGTACTTTAAAACAGCCACCATCTCTCATAAATGTATTTATTTTTAGTGGAGATCCATTATTGAAATAATTACATATTTCAGGCTTATCTTAAAGAAACTTTAGAGAAACATAGCTGTACGGACATTAGCACTTTTATCGAAATATTAAGGATTCTAACAGCAGTATATACAAATAAAATACTTCCAACCGTTTTCAGTGTTGCACAACGACATTTATGAACTGCGCGCATCATTTTGTTGTAGCCTGCCGAGCCTTTTAAAACGCGAAAAGGAAAATAAACTAAAACATATTTACAAATACAAAAAAAAAAAAAACATTAAAATGTGAGTTAAATGAAACATGCTACTTTAAAATGAAAATAATCGTTATGTTTATTTGTTTTCAGGCCTAAAGTCAGTGATAATACATTGCGCGAACTTGAAGACATTTTGAACGAGAGCGAAACCTACGCAGATCGGCTGACTGCTTTTCTTAAGCTTAAGACAGCACCAAAACCGGCAAACAATGGACCTTTACTTATGTGCGATGCGGATTTGTCTTTCGATTTTGATGTCGACTTGATAAAACTACCACCGAAACAGCAACCAGCATCTCCAAAAGACGCAATATCAGTTGAAAATAAGGAGCACCCATTACGTGAGATAACTAACCAAGCCTCAGTCCCAATTGATCACAATAGGGGAACAGCATGCCCGATTGTTTCAGACACACAAGAGTGTCCACCTACATCACCTGCACGTACTGATGGATGTCCGGTGTCCAATGCGTCTTCATCTGGTCTTTGTCTAACGTCACCTCGCAAATCCCTAACACGACGCAGTGGGATTCATGTACCGGGGTCGGATCGTTTACGTCGTGTGGCCATACAAAGACGATCGCGGAGTTGTGGTCGTCGCGATTTGCTAAATGAATTCAATAATTTGTCGAAGCTCAGTTCGAATTTCGTAAGTTCCAATGAAACTCTTTGTAATTTGAGAGACATCCAGCTAACTAATGTACCCTATCAGGAACCGACCGTGAGCAGCACGCCAGCCTCTGAGAAAAAAGATACAGCCAAGCCAGCAGAGTCCCCCCAAGAAAAGTTTCAGCAGGAACAACGCGATGAGCAACTATCACAAGCATCCAATCACTCTGTCAAGCTATCATCACAGCGATCATCGTCACCCGATTGTAACAACAAGCGACGCACCTATACCATTGAAATGGGCCCCGAGCCTGGTCAGCTGCTGTTGTCTCCGTCGATAAAGAGCACCCAGAACGTCTCCGTATCGAATGCATCACTGAGACAAGCACGAAGTCGCCTTGCACAATACAGAGAACAAGCTGAACTATCGGCAGCCCGGCTGAAGATATTAGCTCCTGATACACCAGCGCGTGCTTTATCGCACACACTACCAAATCCGGAATATATTGTGCCCGAAACACAGCCGCAGCCAATGCTAAAAAATTTGTCCAACAACGCTTTAGTGACGCCCTTTATGGTTGTACCCATAAACTCGATGCTCGCAGCTAATGCTCAGGCAGCTAATGCTATTGCAGCTAGTGCAATACCAGCTGCTGCACCAGTGGATGCAGCAGTTCAAGTGAAACCGGCTCCAAGTGCTACTGTGGCCAATCGCAGCATGCAAACCTCTTGCAGCCCGGCTGCTGTGCAGAAGTTAGAGGACATAATGACGGACGATGATAGCGAAGAAGAGCGGCAGTCAAGTCGAGTACCCTTAAATCTGGCAGCAGCCACTGGCAACAACAACAGGCAACGTAGCTTACGCAGTCGTGTGCAACGCGTGGACAACTCCATGCAGCTGCTTGACTTACATCAGTCCCGCTCAAGCGATTCACGCGAACGCGATCAATACAAGCCGCGCCAAACGGTGCTTAACAAGCCCTCCCAGCCGGCTATCAATGGGGAGCAGTTTGCCTTCGAGCTGGCACGCATGAGCAACTACGAGATCTTAGATTTGCGCAAGCGGAACTCCTTGGGCAGACACCGTCCAGTGAATGGTCATCGACAGCAGTCCACTGAGCAGGAGAAGCAGCAGATGCTGCTGGATCAGCACATTGAATGGGAAATATTGCGGCGCAATCTGGAAGAGCAAACCGAGCAGGACGCACTCCCCAAAACTGTACCGATGTCCCAGGATGAAACATTGCCTGCAGCGTCTTTAATGCAATCGCCAGCGGTACCTCCCATGGACTTCAGAGACAACACCTTGGAACATCAAGAGAATAGTTTCGTGCTGCAGGCACAACGCTCCCATAATAAGAGGCGTGAAACCCTCAGGGTAAGGCTTTGATTTATCAATAAAATTATTATTTAAGCTCGAATTCTTCACTCACAGCAAACCTTTGAGCTACCATCCATGTCGCCAGCGGCGCCTCCTGCTGACTTCAGGGACAATTCTTTGCCACCGCAGCAGAGGACCCGACGATTGCGTTCCAGACGTCATGAGCCGCCAATGGTAGGTGCTATATCAACTAATCCAAAAAATGCATAGTTTCATAAAATTTATATCAACAGAGTGAAGATGAATTGCTGACTGTGTGCACGCCACCCTCACAATTTCGCAAATCCAGGTCCAGACAGAGGGAAAATCGGCAGTCGCAAGTAGTAGAGCCTGTACCACCTCCATACCATTTTAGTGACAATGCCGAAACGGATATAGAGGAGGAGAATCAGGAACAAGAGCAACAACTCTTGCCGCCAGCCCAGTTCGTCAATGAAACACATCAAATCCATTCAATTCTGGAAGAAGTTTGCATTGAGGAGATTGCGGCTAATGAGAAACCAAGCAGCAGCTCGTTCGCCCAACGGTCCATGAGGCTGAGAACTAGCACGCAACTGAAAAAGTCAGAAGTACAGCCACAGATAGAGCAGATAGATCTCCAGGAAAAGCAGGAGGAGAATCAGCAAAGGAAGGGAGAAAAACCAAAGAAGAAGGAGCAACAGGAAAGAGAGTTGCGTGAGAAACAGCAAATGGAGAATGAAAACAAGAAGAAACTAGAAAAGGAGATTGAAAGGCAGCAAAGAGAGCTGATGGATATACAGGAAAAGGAAAAGAAAGCAAATGAGCAAAAGAAGCAACAAGAGAATGAAGCCAGAGAACAGCAGGACAAACAGCTGGAAGAACAACACAAGCGACAACAAGAGGAAGAGAAAGAAAAGGAGGAGCAACAGCATCAAGAAAATATCGGGCAACAGCCAAGAGAGGAGGAGGAGCTAGAAAAAGAAGTGCGACAGGAAAAAGAGCAGTCGAAGCTTCTCAAACGAAAAGTGAAAGGTCAAATGCAAAAAGAGGCCCCACAGCTGGAGCAGCAGGAGCTGCATCACGACGAGCCCATACAGCTGGTAGAGCCAGCACCGCCAGAAGATGTATTCAAGAAGCCAACAGCTCCAGCGCCACGAAGCAAAGCAAACAAAAAGAGTCGATTGGAGAAACAGCTGCTCATTACGGTGGGTGATGCCACTCTTCCGCCGGATGAGCGAGATGACGATGCCAACACGAGTAAGTAAACTGCTGGCAAATGACTAGGCCAATCCACTAATGCATACTCAATTTCATCAGCTGGCGTTCGTCGTTCCAGACGTGGTCAGGTGCCGCTGTGCAATACCTGGGTGCACAGCATTAGCGATCCCTTCCAGTTTATGCGCAAGATGATAGATCCACCAAAGAAGTCATCGGCCAAGAAGCCCAAAAAGCGAACAGCTTCAACTGCTGATGGAGGCTGTTCCATGATAAATAAACCACCGCTGTCTGCCAGCACGCCTCGTAGTACAGCTGCTCCCAGTAACAACAAGCGCACGAAACAGCAGCAGCCGCATCAGGATAAACATCAGAGCAATGTGTTGAGCACTTCGGACGCAATTTCAGGCATCACCAGACTTAACTACATAACAGAGGAAGACGAGCCCGTAGAACCAGAGGCGGAGGCGGTAATTAATGTAGTTGAACCAGCGCCTGTGCCCAAAAAACGGGGACACAAAAAAAAGACGCCGGCCGACAGCACTGAGCCAAACAAAGAAACAAAAGATAAGGAAAAGAAGAAAAAGAGGCAGCCAGCTGCAACTGCAGTTGAACAAATAGCGGAGGAGCACGAAGAAGACGCAATGCCGATACCTGACCAGCCAGGCGCTTCTCCACTTCCTAATCAGTCGCACGATCCTTCATCGGAAACGCTAATGTCCTGGTTATGCGGTGCACGCGAGCTGCCACCAGATAATTCCGATGTCACCGAGACAAAGACTGATTCAATGTCTGTCTGTGAGTTCTCCGTCTAACAAACTATCTTTTATATATATAAGGAACGGTTTTGTAAAATTATATCTTTTGCTTGCAGCACGAGCAGCCAATCTGCATTTCTCGAACATTGATGGGATCGAGTATGCCTTTTATCACACTGAGGATCGGTATTCTATGGGCTATATGCGCTTCCAGCCACTGCAGCAGCGGGGAATGAAGCGGGCCAAGACCAACACATTGGTTCGTCTTAATATAATTATATAATGTATAAACAAACATATTCATACATAGTTTTTTAATCTTAGCGTTTTGTGGCTCTTCATGGCAACTTTGAATTTGAAATAGTTAGCCCGGAGTCGGAAGAAACCTGCCATGACATATTGTACACGGGCGACACGATAGAAATTAAAAAGGGTAAGCACTTAAAATTTTAAATTTTGTATTTTCCATCCTTCTACTATTATCTTTATATTACACAAATAATAATTAATAACATTTCCTCAAACATATTTCTTTCAGGAAGTCGTTATGACATTAAAAACCGCTTGGATAAGGTTAGCATCATAATGGTCTATCGTAACTGATTGTATGCAAACATCTTGTTGAACTATACATACTATTTATACTATTTCTATCCGTATAAATATTACAAATGGTTAATTATGCGAAAATATTTTGATTAAGTTTTCGTCTTTAAGTTAAGTTTTATATATGTTCTGTTTTTCTAAATATATAATAAATAATTTGCTACGGCCTAGCAATCGGTGTACATTTTTAAATAACATTTTATAAACTTGTTTAATTGTTTCAAATTTGTCAACTGTTTACCAACTGTTGGGTATACCCTCCCGCGTTTTTTGAGTGCTACCAGATCATTGCCGATAATACTTGCGTCCAGTGTGGCAACGCCGACAGTGCTGCCAACTGTCAAAGTAGCTGTCAATTTTTTCTTTCTTTTCCGGTCAGCGAACAGACCTGTAAGTTCGCGTAAAAATTATACATTAATTAAAATCGTTTAAATTTAGTGGTTTTACCAAACAACGCCAAATATAAACAGCTCTAAAAGACTGATAATTGTGCAACTTATGCCAACATATCAATATTGTTAAACGGTCGATAGTTATTTAGCAAAAATAATAGCCAAAGCTGCCAATCAAAACAAAAGTCTCAGATAAAATTATTATAAAAACCAAATGCTAGTGCAAATAATTGGCGAGCAATATATGATTGAAAGCGTAATTGAAGACGAATAAGTGATTTTGTGCTAATTCCTTGCATTTCTCTTATATTTACTTTACATGCACGCTCGCTCGCTGCTGTCGTCGACGTCGCTGCCTACTATCAACAAAAACAACATAATGGATTGGGTCTTTTTTAACACGCACAGCCGCCAAGATGAGGAAAATTATGAAACAGGGCAAGATCGTAATCGTCCTCAGTGGACGTTACGCCGGCCGCAAGGCTATCATTGTGAAGACTTCCGATGATGGCACGCCGGAGAAGCCCTTCGGTCATGCACTCGTTGCCGGCATCGACAGGTACCCTCGTAAGGTGACCAAGAAGATGGGCAAGAACAAGTTGAAGAAGAAGTCCAAGATCAAGCCTTTCCTGAAGAGCCTGAACTATAATCATCTGATGCCCACCCGCTACACAGCGCACGACATCAGCTTTGAGAAATTGTCGCCCAAGGACCTGAAGGATCCCGTCAAGCGCAAGACGCATCGTTTCCAGACTCGCGTCAAATTCGAGTCGGTGTACAAGGAGGGCAAGAACAAGTGGTTCTTCCAGAAGCTGCGATTCTAAGCGGGGCAACTGCCTATGTGGAGGTCTCTTGATTTATTTGTCGTCGTTTTTTTAAGGTTAAATAAAAACACAAATTTCTGATATAAAGTGACCGAAACTAGCAATTGTTAATGTGTTTGTATTATCCGATTGTGTACACTTTATGAAGCTATGAATTTAGTAAATCTAGGTGGCATTTTGTTAACCCACGTTTGCCGGACGTCTATAGTGTCTAGTATAGATTTTTGGTAAGCCGATTATGTGCCATAGGGTTTTTGTCCAGTGTTAGATGTTAATATCCTACTAAATTAGAACATACATATTTTGGTATGTTTACTAATCCTTTCCTTACATCGGCATAGATTGAAAACTCTGTTAGCCTTCAATACGCTCAACGGTTGCCATTGTTGATTTTTAATTTAACCCCTGTTCTTGTAAGTTAAATATTTGTAGTTAGCTGCGTATACTTTGTATTTTAATCATAGTTATTTAGTTTCATTGCTTATAATTCAGGATTCATTTAATATTCCATTTGATCGAATTGAATATGCTTTACTTCTGTTCTACTTCATTCTTATTAGATTAGTCTCATACCTCATACATGGGATATTCTTACAACAAAAATGACAAAGTAATTTGTAATTTAGAATTTTCTGTTTTATATTATTGGTGCAGCACACCTTTCTCCATCTGGTTCACAATGAAAACGCACATTGATAGTATTTTTTCAATTTTTTAATAAATATTCGAACAGAATAATACATTTTGCTTGAATTTAATTTAATATTCTTATAGTCGTGTCTATAATATACAATTCTATGGCTTCACTGTACACTTTTCAAACTTGACAATATTGCAGAAGGGAGTTTTTTGCTGTATTTTTTTTTTCGCTTAAGGATTGTGCTCTTGCCAAATTGGGTCAACAAAGTTTAAAAAGAGTCAAAGTAGTTCAAAGCATTACTGACTCGAAAGAAGCTCTGTGAAATAGAAGAAACAAGATGAATTAGAGAATTTCAGTTAAAATAGGCGCGCTTATAATTATGAGTATTTCGCAAACATAATGCATATTACCTGCAGTATAACACTGAGCGTCGGAGGTGCACAGAACACATAACACATAGCCGGGGCGGGGAGATTTGTTTGTTTTCAATTGGTAAAGCAGCGATAATGTTTTGACCACATTAAATAAATAAATGGATTGCTTCTAACAATATTTATTGACATCACAATAAACACTTTATGCATTGGCTTTGAAGATGAAATAACTTTTAACAATTGTTGTTGGTTCTGATTGGCTTAGTTGGGTTAATATCAAATTTATTATAAGATTTTATTTTATTTTTTGGTTTTATTATTTTTGCTGTTTAGTAGGGCTTTAGCTTGCGTATTCGGATAGGGTACCTAAGACTGGGTGAAAAATTTTCCATGTGGCCTGTGGAACGGGTAAGCATGGATATTTTTTGTTTGTTTGGGGAGTAGAAAAGTAGATGTAAATTTGTCGGTTAGATTTGTACATATAATACTTCTTGATATACATTCAGAGAGAAAAAACAATATTGTAGACGGAGAGTGTTTCAGTATGGTGTGTGTGTGTGTTTATGTGTTGTGGGCACTACGGGAAGAACTACTTACAATAGGTTTAATAAAAATAAATAAAAATATAAAAAAAAAAAAATCGGGATTAAGAAAAAAAAAAATTATAAAAAAAATTAGTAAATTTTGTATTTGTGTTTTGGGTTAGGAACAAATTAGGATTATAACTGTTTTAACGGGAACGGGTTGCAAACTTATTTATAACACTTACAGTTCTGTTCAAGTTGAAGTGGGAAAAATAATACAAAAGAGCACAAAATACTTATATAATACCAAATAAAATGTCGACAGACTGTGTAACAGTGAAGTAAAGAGGACAAGCGAAAATATGGTACACAGATATGTTATGTATACTCGCTATAAAACTAAATACAGCAATAAAAGAACGCCAACGGAAACGAGCATCACTCGCACTTTCAAAAACAAATATGCTTAAATATTTAATGCAAGTCAATTATTTTACCAATTCACGCGCTTGGCACTCAAGATCTTGAGAATGTTTTCAACCACATCGGTGCTGCTGTGATTGCCGCCGAGATCTACAAGGAAACAAGTTAAATATATATGTGTTAAATATGAAAATCGACGTCTATGTGTAAAGGGAACTCATGTTCACACATGCTCAACAAACCTGGCGTGCGAATAGCATCGTTAACAATTGTCTGGTAGGTAGCGTCATAGATAACCTGCGCATGCTCCTTGTGGCCCAAATGATTCAACATATCAATGCTGGCATTGATCATGGCCACGGGATTGGCTATATTCTTGCCGGCAATGGCAGTGCCTGTGTTACGGGTGCCAGGCTCAAAGACGGCATACTAAAAGGAAATCAATTTTGTACTGAAATCATAACTATACTACCGTATATAAGTAGCTCACGTGATCGCCATAGTTGCGTCCAGAGATTAGACCAGCGCCGCCAATCAGTCCACAAATCACGTTCGACACAATTGTGCCATACAAGTTAGTCATATTCATGACATCGAACTGGTGGGGGTTCGAGACGGCCTGCATGCAAGTGTTGTCAATAATCATGTTGTTATGCTCCAGCTCGGGATAGTCCTTGTGCACACGATTGGCTACTTCCAGGAACAGACCGTCCGAAAGTTTCATGATGTTTGCCTTGTGGATGGTCGTCACGCGTTTGCGATTGTTCTGACGCGCATATTCGAAGGCATAGCGTGCCACACGCTCAGCATTGTCCACAGTAACCACCTTCATGCTCTCCACAACGCCGCGCACAGACTCATGCTCCAACATGGCATACTCACCATCCGTGTTCTGGCGGATGAGCACAACATCGACGTCCTTGTGGCGCGCAGGAATGCCTGGATATGACTTGCAGTGCACCACATTCACGTAGAGATCAAGCTCATTGCGGATGGCCACATTGCGGGAGACTTCGCTTAAACTTTGCGATTTCGTCTCAATATTACCCTTGAGTGCCACGCCATTACGCTTGATGGAGGTAATTGCATAGTCCAGATCATCATTGCCCTCGGTGGAGGGATCAATGTCGATTACCTCAAAATCAATGGGAGCACCACAATATCTGAAGATCTCACGAACATAGCCCATCAATTCGGGTCCGATGCCACCGCCGGGCAGCATAGTGACCCCATGACGGCCACCATATTGCGCCGAGGGTATATCCGTGTCCTATTGGAGAAGCAGTATCAGATGCGTTTACTAATACATATACACTATTTGTATAACCTCAAAAACGTACCGTTACTTTCTTTTGCAAAGCCGATTTGGTGTGTGCCACGTCTTCAGTTTTTTCCTTGGTCACCAGCAGGGGATATCCCTGTAAATGACATATTAAATGAAATTTATCTTTGACTTTTTATCCATTCTCTAGACCCAACGCATTATGTAATTTTCAATTGCCAACCGCTCAGTTGGCCAACTATGTATCTCTAATTTCCTTTCTAACTTACTCGTGTTAAGAAGGGCACCTGGGCTTGCAGCAGTTTCTGAGTTAATCGAATAGCCATGTTTCGTTATAATATTTTCCAAGTGCCCCTTACAAAGCTGATCAACCCTTTTCTTATTTGATTTCTGTAGCCACGGCCAAAACGCAAAATCATATGTTTATCAAGCGATATTGTTTTCGATAGAACACAAATTTAAAAATATCGATGTGTAAACAATTAAGCTATCGAGTGGCTGCACTGGCATACAGCCGTGACGTCATTAATCTCCTTAAAACATTAGAGAATAGTATTCCTCTCGTTAGGTTTGCAACTCTTACATTCGCTTCTTATGTAAATTTGTAAAATTTAAATAATTTATTTTTAATATATAGCTCGAAAATATAAAAGTCTACTTTTTAGCTAAAACAAACATTTATTCTACATTTTTTCTTCATTCTATCGTGACATTTATAAATTCAGCCACTATGTATTTTGTAGCGTATAAAGTCTTCGGTGTGCGCCCATATTATTTCATTAAATTGCTGTTACGTTAACAACCACACGCATTTAGAGTTTGTTTTTGAATTAAAACAACTTGGCTGCAGAATGTGGTCGTAGAATAAACAATTAATAGACATTATAGTGGCAAATGGCTGCGGAATTAGCGCCCGCCGCACTTCCGGCGCAAATCGATATGCAGGAGCCGGTCTCAAAGATAACATTTTTACACGCGCTCGTTGTAAGTTTTCAAATGTGCAATTAAAATGCAATTTCTTATGTACGTATGCTGGCATGCACTTCTTTAGGCGGGCGGCGTGGCGGGTTTCGTGGTGGACATAGCACTGTTTCCCATTGATACGGTTAAGACGCGCCTACAAAGCGAGTTGGGCTTCTGGCGCTCCGGTGGCTTCCGCGGCATTTACAAAGGATTGGCCCCAGCGGCTGCTGGCAGCGCACCTACTGCTGCTCTATTCTTCTGCGCCTACGAGTGTGGCAAGCAACTGCTGAGCTATGCGAGCAACACCAAAGATTCACCTTATGTGCATATGTCAGCTGCGTCCAGCGCCGAAGTTGTGAGTAGCTAAGAGTTAGGAAGACAACTTTATTATTCTCATAAATTACTTTCGATATACATAGCTCGCCTGCCTCATTCGTGTACCTGTTGAAATTGCCAAGCAACGTTCCCAAACACTTTTGGGCCACAAACAGCATCAGACCGCGCTTCAGATCTTAGTGCGCGCCTACCGCACTGAAGGCCTGCGTCGTGGTCTCTATCGTGGATTTGGTTCGACGATTATGCGTGAAATTCCTTTCAGCTTAATACAGTTTCCACTGTGGGAATATTTTAAGCTGCAATGGACGCCAGTAACTGGCTTTGATTCGTCACCCATCACGGTGGCTCTCTGTGGCGCCGTTGCGGGCGGCATTGCGGCTGGGCTAACAACGCCGCTGGATGTCGTAAAAACGAGAATAATGCTTGCAGATCGGGAAAGTCTGTTGCGACGTCGTAGCATACCAGCTGTACTGCATGGCATTTATAAAGAACGCGGCATAAGCGGGTAAATAAAACAGGTTTACATATGCTGACTTAATATAAATATTTATTCTTATACATATTCCAGGTTGTTTGCCGGCATTGTACCCCGCGTTCTGTGGATAACACTGGGCGGGGCGTTTTTCTTTGGCTTTTACGATCTAACAACGCGTTTATTGAGCGCTGCAAATGCTGCTGATTAACAGCTTAAATAGGCACATATTTTTTAGTGAATGTACAAAAGTCTGTGGAACATTTAGATATAACTTATGCTGATATCAAAGGCAAACTGATAACATAGACAATAAAATAAAAGTTTATACTCTAATCTAAGCTAGAGTTTAGTCTTTCTTACTTCTGCATTTCCTAATTTTGGTACTTAATTAGACACGCAACGCAATATCGTTTGCATCCAGATACGCTTGATTTGATTGGGCATAGCTTCCTGTACGCTGTACCTAAATATATACATATATACATTGTTAATGTATAAGTTAAAGACAATTAGTTAATTAGTTACTTACAGGTTCGATATGCAAGCGTGCATCAAGCAGACTGGTAATTGCATTTGGTTCGTCTGCTCCAGCCATGGATACATCTGAGTCGTCGTCGTCAACATTTGTGTAGCCATTGCGAGTGGCATTACGGCGCTTGAAGCATATAAAATTGAATGAACGGCGGCTACGTGACATCACATATACCTTCAAGTAGTAGGTTGTATCGCATATGCAAATAAGGAAAACGCAGTTGTACAAATAGCAAGAGATAACAAAATTAAAATGAACTTTACCAAACCAGCAAGCAGAACTACTCCCACCAATACCAAAATGGGTAACCATATGTATTGAGCATCATCTGGATGTTCCAAATCAGGGCTTACGGTTGTTATAGGCTCAACATCCATAATTGTTCTTGCGAGGCTGAACGAGGATTTAAATCGCTGATTGAATGCCAAAACATAAGCCGGTGCCAGTGTTACCACAAATAACAACTGCTCTTTACGAGTTATCGTTAGTGAGCAAAGGCTGTGATGGAAGTTACAAAGCATTTAAAGTCACGTCAAATTTTTTACAAATATTAAACACCAGTTACTCATACCAGTAATTAATGATGTCCTTTTTTCAATTTATGTTATTTCTAATATATTGGGTAGTCTAAAAAGTTTTTTCGTATTTTGCCAATAGATGTCGTTGGCGTCGTATATCTCCAGTGCTACCAATCACATTGTGTACACGTTGTGGTGTTCGATTGGTAGCACTTTAAGCTTCGATTGCCAAAAAAAAAAATGTAATTCAAAGAATTTGAAAAAAGTTACAGCTGTTCAAAAATGAGTGAAAATAAAGAAGAAATTCGCTATATTTTGAAATTTTTGTATAAAAAAGGGAAGAATGCCACGCAAGCCACTAATGAAATTTGTGATGTTTACGGTGACGATGCTCTATCAGTTCGTGTAGCACAACAATGGTTCGGACGCTTCCGTTCAGGAAATTTCGATGTGAAAGATGCACCTCGCTCTGGTCGACCAATCTTTGAAAAAGTCGATGAAATTATGGAAAGGATTGACCAAGACCGTCACATAAGCAGCCATGACATCGCAAATGAACTAAACATTCATCATCAAACGGTTCTGAACCATTTAGAAAAGGCTGGCTACAAAAAAAAGCTCGATGTATGGATACCACATGAATTGTCTGTGAAAAATTTATTGGACAGAATTAACATTTGCGATTCTTTGCTGAAACGAAATGAAATCGAACCATTTCTGAAGAGAATGGTAACAGGAGACGAAAAATGGATCAAATACGACAATAATGTGCGAAAAAGATCATGGTGCAAGAGTGGTGAAGCTCAACAAATGGTCGCAAAGCCAGGATTGACGGCTCGAAAGGTAATGCTGTGTGTTTGGTGGGATTGGAAAGGAATAATCCACTATGAGCTGCTTCAGCCTGGTCAAACGATTGATTCGACACTTTACTGTGGACAACTGATGAGATTGAAGCAAGCAATCGAAAAAAAACGGCCAGAACTGATCAACAGAAAGGGCATCGTATTCCATCAGGACAACGCCAGACCACACACATCTTTGATGACCCGGCAAACACTGAGAGAGCTTGGCTGGGAAGTTTTAATGCATCCACCATATAGCCCTGACCTTGCACCTTCGGACTACCATTTATTTCGGTCAATGCAGAACTCCCTTAACGGAGTAAAGTTGGCTTCAAGAGAAGCCTGTGAAAATCACTTGAAGCAGTTTTTCAAAGAGAAACCACGAAAGTTTTACACGAATGGAATTATGTCTCTAGTGGAAAAATGGCAAAAGGTGGTCGACCAAAATGGTGCATATTTGATTTAATAAAGTTTATTATAAATATTTAAAAATATGATTTGAAGTTTCATTACAAATACGAAAAGACTTTTTAGACTACCCAATATTTCCCAATTAGTAGCTTCTTTTGTTTTTCTTCATACAATGAATTGTAGCGGATATAATTCGATATTAACCTATCGATATTCATTTTTCAATATCTTCTTCTGTAGGTTTCCTCTTGTCCCATCGCTAATTGTGCTGTGTTTGGTCTCCTTTGCCGCAAAGTTTGTTTAAAATTCCAATAAAAACCCCGCGTAGTGGATTTAGTTTAAAATCAGAATGACTGTCTCTATTGCTGAAATTCTAATTGAAGATTTACGCTACTGCTGTCGCATTTGCCTTGAGCAGCCGCATCGTGCCCAGATGCTAGATATGAATCTGATATATGATGAGGAAGCTCAGCTTACATACTACGATTGCTATGAAATATGCACAAAGAATAATCTGCGAGAATGCACCGAGCATGAGCCGCACACATTATGCAAGCATTGCGGCGTAGAGCTACAATGGGCCTATGACTTCCATAAAAAGGCTGCACAGGCCAACAAGCAGCTGCAAAATATGCAATCTATTGTACATAGCGAGGTCGAAGACGTGGAACAGATCAATGAAGTTGACATAGATGAATTGGTACATGTAATGCCAGTGGAAGAGGATACCATAAATGAAGTGGAACTGGAAGAGCCAGTAGAGCCAGCAATCAGTGAAATTGATACTGTAGACTCTGTCCCAACGATAGTTTGCACGAGTGTCAACGATGTTGTACCCCGTCAACGTTATTCGGGTCCATTTAACTGTAAATTCTGCCAGAAAGTCTTCCGGAATCATTCGCATATGTTGAAGCATCAGCTGATACATCTCTCGGATCGTCCGCACTTCCAGTGCAACGCCTGCGATCGCTTCTATCTCACCAAGCAGGCGCTAAAAGTTCATGTGGACACGCAGCACAAAAAGTCCGGCAGGATGTGCGGTATCTGTGGCAAAGTGTTCGCTATAGCCAAAGGTCTTGAAATACACATGCGCTATCACAATGGCTTCTTTCCCTTCGATTGCGATCAGTGCGATCGCAAGTTCGCACAGCGCTCCCACCTGAATATCCATCAGCAGGTGCGGCACAGCAGCGCACGTTTCCAGTGCGAGTTTGCCGGCTGTGGCAAACTATTTACCTCGTCATCGGCACTGCGTAATCACGAGTGCACCCACACCGAAATGCCCTTCGAGTGCAATGTCTGCCAGCAAGGATTTCCGGCTCGTTATAAGTTAGTACCAGTCTCGTTTGGCTTTGTAATTCCTGCCTGTCCATCTAATGAATTTTAATCTCTCCTTTGATGCAGATTGCGATTGCACGCTCAACGCAAGCACAACATGCAACTGACACTGGCGCAACTGGAGACCATGCGCAAATTTCATATAATGCGCTCAAAGCGTGTTCTGGCCAAGCTCGAGGCAACACAGCATCAACAGCAGGAAGAGGGAGAACAGAAGCTGATTGATGCTGTAACTAATGACAGCTAAAGCCAATTAAAAACTAATAATTAAAGTCTTTTGCTGCCAGGCAGTCACTTTTCTTACAAATATCACATTCAATGTATTTCACGATTTTGTTGAGTTAGTTAACAATGACTTGGTTGCACATGTAGACATATAGATACATATACATATATATATATGTATATCTCATATATATGATTAGAGTATAGACATCATTTGGGAGAAGCTATCAAAATATTCGCCATTCAGTGGCTCAGCGTCAGAGCCAGCGGCATTGACTTAATGCCTGTGGTTGTTGTATATTCATCTGGATTCTGGGAGGAGCCCGTCGCAGTGCCCGTGGTTGTGTTCGCCACGTTGCCATGCCCCGTCTCCGTCCGCTTGCGTGATGTTATCTTCTTCCAGCCGCGCAACAGGATTTGATTACGATACTTGGGCGTCGTGAAGGTATAGAGCAACGGATTGACAGCCGAATTGAGGGGCAATATGAAGACGACCAACCAAGCGTAGATATCATCCGAGATGTTGTACTTGAAGAACACCCAGATCTTCATCGCTATAATCGGTGCCCAGCAGAGCACATCGGTTAGCACAATGAAAAAGAAACGCACCGCAAATTCACAGTCCAGCAGTGAAAGGGGCGTGGCACTGCGCGTACGCCAAATGGAAATCAATAGCGCCGTATACAATAATGCAATCATCAGTAGGAGCAGCAAATTGACGCCGAGAAAGACAAACGCCGAGTACTGCCAGCCCAGTGGATATGCCTCGTGTATGAAGAGTGGGAAGCAGGTGCCAGAGTGAGTGCCGTAGAACTGACTGCTGGAGTACCAGATGACAAGGGGCGTCACAGCCAGACCCACACCAGTAGCCCAAATGCACAGCAGCGAGAAGTAAATGATACGCACACTGATCGCGCGATGGCCGCGAAAAGGATCCGCTATGAGCAGGAAGCGTTCCAACGACATGAAGGCCAAGATGAGCATGGATACCTCTGAGGAGCTAACAGCCAGAGTTCCGATTGCCTTGCACTGCCACGACTTCAGCCAATCGCGAGCCACCCTAAAAAGAGATTTCCAAACAATAATTTATACACATAAAGAAGAACCGATCACATACATATGATATTCATCTCTGTAGCGATAATCCTGGACTCCCAGTATGAGCAGATAGAAGCCCATGAGCATATCTGCTAGCGCTAGATTCCTGATCACCATGGTCACCGCCACATTCTCATCGCGGTAGATGAATCGACCATAGAGCACCATCAGGTTGCCCGCTATGGAGAGCGTTGCCATGAACCAGGTGGAGTGGCGCAGCAAGGGCTTGCTTAGCAGATCCTTGAACGAACTGACGCCATCCGTTTTGGGCTTACACATTAGCACATGCGGCGTCATGGAGCAATAGTAGAAACGATCAAACACTATGTACTTCAGATTAGGCATCCTGTTGAGTGCATCAAAGTCAATCCGCTCGAACTCGATGCCGGTCAGATTCAAAAAAGAAACGTTCAGCGCATCAATCAAATTCCGATCAATGTGCAGCGGCATGTGAGCCAGGGAGCTGTTTAAGCAAGAAAATGGGGGAGTGAAATAGATTTAAAGGCATGAAATTTGCTATTTTAAAGTATTATATATATATATATAGATATATATAGATTTAATATTTATCCGAAAAATATTATACATTTTTATACCCTGAACCCATTTTCAATGGGAAATCAGGGTATAATGGTTTTGTTGAAATGTATGTAACAGGGAGAAGGAGGCGTGGCAGACCCCACAAAGTATATATATTCTTGATCAGGGTGACGAGCTGAGTTGATTTGGCCCTGTCCGTCTGTCTGTCCGTCTGTCCGTCTGTCCGTATGTATGAACGCGTCGATTTCAGAAGATATAAGAGCTAGAGACTTCAAATTTTTTTTTAAATGTCCGTAATTACAGCGCGCATATCAAGTTTATCATTAAAAATCGATAACTCATCTCGATATTTTTTTATCGATAAAAAACCTTATCGAAACCCAGTTATAAAATTATATCTTCTACACCTTTATTGCTAGAGTCTCCAAATTTTTAATGTATGCTTATATGCAATTTATACAATTTCGGTTTTTGTTAAAATTTACCCCCCACCTCTAAATTCACCCCCTCACCCTCACTTTTGTAAAAAGCGTATTTCAAATACTAGAGACTTGTGCTTTGGCAATCACATGCATATTCATGTTATAATCATATTCTGAAAGTTTCATGAAGATCGTACGTCCATAAAAAAAGTTATTAAACAATTAACTTCTCATAGTAAGCGCACACTGCAGCCCATGCGTGTTTATGCGTGGTTGCTTGTGTGTGTATGTGTTTGTGTATGTGTGTGTGTATGTGTGTGTGTGTATGCGTTTGTGTATGTATGCGTGTGTGTGTGTAAGTGTGTCTGTATGCGTGTATGTGTATATATGCCTGTGTGTGCGTACGTGCGTGTGTGTGTGTGTGTGCGTATTACTTGTGTAAGCTGAAAGTTGCAAAAAATTATTGAAATATCTATTGCTCCAAGGGTTCAGGGGATCTCGTAGTCGAGCAGTCTCGACTAGAGCTTTCTTACTTGTTTATATTTATTTTATTTCAGCTTTAGTATTTAATATTCAAAAAGTAAATATTTTTATTGATATAAAAACTGCTCAAGTACCAAGCGCCTTAAATTCCAAGGCAGCGTTTCAATTCCCTGATTAATACTCAAGTCTCTACTTATATCATATTCACAACATAAATCCTAGTTAATTCTTAACCCCAAATGGCGTGTGTCTGCTCCCCGAGTATAGCCGAAAGCATTTCTTTTTACTTACAGTGCCTCCAGGTGTGTGTTGTGCATAAATGTTTCGCCAGATAATTCCTTAATGGGATTGCCAATGAGGCGGCTGTAAAACAGAGAAACAGACGAATGCATGAAATGGTGCGTCTCATGGACAAAGTGGAATAATATTGCGTATACGCCGCATAAGCCAAATAATAGGCACACACGCACAAATATTTTAAGCTGATAAAAGCAAACAGAGGACCACATTTGATGACGCTTTCAACTGCCGGCTTACATACGTGCATTTAGTTATATTATATAAGGTGGAGCGTTAGATCTTTATAAGAACGTTTTCTTTCCTTTTTACAGCTAACTTTAAAAGTCGCAAAGAAATAAACGACACGAAAATAACAAAAGTGCGACATAATAACGAAAATTCTTATTTAATAGCTGTGATTTCCACACGCTCTCCCTCACTCACTCACCCGCTGTCTATCTCTATCTCTATGTGTGCTATAAATTACTGCACACAGCTATAGTTTATCTTTGGGTTTGGGGCCTGTTGCTCAGTCACAGGAAAAGCGCATCATTCATGGCAGCCAGCAGACGTTGTCGACATCCTTGCTGGCTCCAGCTGTAGCTTTTTCGAGCTCCTCCCCGCTCCCCACTCGCCCCCTGCGTCTGTGAAGTGCAGCAGCTGATGCTGATGCTATTTAGCTCCATTCGCTGCACT